AATCGGCTTATACGTGTCGGTAGCCTATCGGTTATCGACACGGAACTGAAATCAGCAAATCGAATTCAAATTCTATTTTCACCAGTTTTGTTGATTTTAGCCTACACAAAGACATGAATCTACCAAATAGTATTATATATTTTAAGTTGGTAGGGTAATGAGAATTTAGATATAAATATAAAGAATTTGAATTAATCATATTTGAAAGGCCCTTTCAGAAAGTCACGATTTAGTTTTAGAAATACAAGAAATTAAATAATAAAAATAAATATAAATGTCAAATGTATTGAACCACCCCTCCGAAAAAAAACAATACAAAAAAAAAAAAATAAAAAAAACGAGACATTGATCACAGGCCCACACAAGAGGATATCAGTATCAATAGACAGAAATCCCTAACCCCCAACTAAACTTAACCGACTTTCAATTTGCCATATCAAAATTATACTTGTATCTTTATTCGTAAAAAAAAGCCAATTTGTTTAATAAAAAATTCTGAATTCTCATTACTCCACATATATGGGAGAGAGAGAGAGAGAGTAGGTTTTCTTATATAGATGTGAAGAGATTCTGATAGATAGATATGGACAGACTGATATATTTCTACACGTGAAAATATTCCCTTCAAACATAATGCAATTGATGTATTTTTTCAGTTGACCATATGAATATACAATAGCGTTTCCAAATAGCCTATATATATATATATATATATATATATATATATATATAATGAATCAATGAAGACAACTGTTTCATGCTAGACGCAATCGTCATGAAACAGCCTGTCGCTTCTAAGTGTTGACTTCAATGTTCACTTTATATTTACGCATGCTCTGCCTCTGATATTGAGCACTTTATTCCTTAAATATAGCACACTTTAAGAGTATATTTCTTCATATATATATATATATATATATATATATATATATATATATTAAAAATAAAAAGAAAGAACAGCAAGATTTATAATCCAGTGTTCTTTAGCATTTATTTTTTTAAAAAGTCCTCGATAGACAGTAGAGCATAATATTATAATTATTTTTTTAAAAATATCTTCCCATGACGACACAGAAATTACTATATTTCAAAACCAAAACTTAAATCTTAAATTAAACTTAATATTTGAAGTACAGTTCCATTTTCAAAAGATGCTGGGAATAAACTTCGAAAAAAAATGATTTAATCTAGAAAATCTCTACCCCCATTCGACCATAACAAAAAAATTATAATTGTATTTTCATTCGTCAAAAAAGCCAACACAACCTTAATTAAAAAAAAAAAAAACATCTGAATTTTCAAATCGAGTCAATAGTCGAGTCAGAGGCGGTCCGAAACAGAGTCGCGTTCAGACAATTACTGCAAGACATTGATAGTGATACTGGTCGAGACTACATTTTTCTCCCTACTAAACCTGATTTTTCGTACTAACACTTCTACTTCTCTGTATATATTCCTGTTTGTAATATATC